TGTTGGGAATTTAACGCTGAAACCCCTAATGCAACAGAAACGCAGTATAGAAAAAGTACACCAAGATTTAACGAGGTTCGGCAACTGCCTACGTCCTCGGGAGCCACACAGATAATTTTCTTATTAATCAAATAAGAAATTACAATTTAGGAGCGTATCTCAAAACTGAGATTTCTCAGATAAACACTGTAGCTACAGTGTTAATAATCAAAGGGTATGAACCCTTTCAATTCTCAACTGAGAACAAATACCCCACAATTCAAAACCCCTAATTAATTCCCTCTCTCTCTTCTTAAATCCCCCTCAACTAAACTGTTGAAAGCTGGGGATTAATCATAAAATCGCAGCTGCGATTTGGGGGGGGTTTTCCGTCGCCGCCAGGGAAGAAGTCGGAGGAGAGGGGGAGAAGCACAGCAGCGAAACCCTAGGGCCAAAGGGGGCTTTTATAGGCGATGATGAGGGGCTGGCGACAGCCTGTCGCCAGCGAATAACCCAGACGCAAAGGTCGGGTTCGCCAAACGCAGAGCTCGGCATCGCCTAACGCAGAGCTCGCCATCGCCTAACGCAGAGCTCGGAGGCGAACGCAGAGCTCGAGGGGGGTTCGAAACGCAGAGCTCAGGCTTCGAGCTTCGTCGGCTGGACTACCGGAGCTCGCCTGCGACCATCGAACTCGTCGGAGCTCGTCGGAGCTCCTCTTCGCCGGCGGAGGTTTGTTTTCCACCCCCAATTCTAACACACTGGCCTCGTGGAACGACTCTGTTCATTTCTGTCGATGGCAAGGCATCACTTGTGGTGGCTTCCGACATCCTCAAAGGGTCGCATCCTTGAACTTGAGCTCCCTCGATCTTGTTGGAGTTATTTCGACGGCCATAGCTAACCTCACATTTCTTAGGGAGATTGATCTGTCGGACAATCAAATTAATGGATCCATCCCACAAGAGATTGGTCACCTTTCCAGATTGACACATCTTGACTTGAGTTCGAATTCTCTTGAAGGAGGTATTCCTGCTTCACTCTCTCACTGTTCAAAATTAGAGGTACTTTTTCTGCGGGATAACAAGCTCCAAGGTGAAATTCCAGTCAGTCTCAGCAATTGTTCCAGCCTACAGCTCCTAACTTTAAAAAACAATAGCCTCACAGGACGTATACCTTCTTCATTAACAAGTCTTTCCTTGCTTTCTGGTCTATCTATGGCCGGAAACAAATTATATGGCGGCATCCCGCATACCATTGGAAACCTCACCTCTCTAACCGTACTTTATTTGAACAATAACAGCCTTAGTGGCAGCATCCCATCTAGCATAGCTAACCTCACCTCTCTAACTGTACTTTACTTGTACAATAACGAACTCACTGGCAGCATCCCACCGAGCATAGGGAATCTCATTTCTCTTACTAGCTTTGCACTTGATACTAACCAATTATCAGGAAGCATACCACACTCCATCGGTAGGCTTTCTGAAGTAAAAGAACTTTCTTTGTCAGCCAACAGCCTCTCTGGAGGCGTACCACCTTCACTGTGGAATCTCTCTTCTCTTTCTCATCTATCTATGTCATTTACCTATCACCTATCTGGGTCACTCCCACCAAACATAGGCCAAGCTCTTCCTCTGCTTGAAACATTTTACCTGGCCTTTAACCAATTCCACGGACCAATCCCAATGTCATTGTCCAATGCATCTCGTCTTCAATACATTGAGCTTGGTGGAAATAGCTTCAGTGGCATAATCCCTCCTACCCTCGGACGTTTACGAGAGCTGCAATCACTATTTCTATATAGTAACCACTTAGAAACCACGGAACCTGATGGATGGACATTCCTAACCGCTTTGACCAATTGTACCCAGTTGGAGTGGTTGACCCTATCGTCAAATAAGCTTAGAGGCGTGCTACCAAATTCAATCGCCAACCTTTCCACCAATCTTCAGGGTCTATATATGGATAATAACTACATCTCTGGAAAAATATCTTCTGATATCGGAAACCTCGTAAACCTTATGGTGCTTCGTATGGATGGAAACTCGCTTTATGGCTCTATTCCTTCCAGCATCGGGATGCTTCGGAACTTGCATGCATTGGATTTGGGCAATAACAAGCTATCTGGAGAGATTCCATCTACCATCGGCAACCTTACTCAATTGAATGAACTTTATCTAGATTCCAGTGAACTAAGCGAAAATATACCAGTAAGTCTGGGAAAGTGCCAAAACCTAATATATCTAAATCTTGGATCTAACAAACTTACGGGTAGTATACCCAAAGAAATAGTCTCCATTTCTAGGCTCTCCATACATTTAAGTTTGGCATCCAATTCACTGTCAGGGCCAATACCATCTGAAATCGGGAGCTTAATAAATGTGAATATATTAGATTTCAGCATGAACAAATTGTCTGGTGAAATCCCTATCACTCTCAGTGAGTGTCAAGTGCTGGAGGAACTTTATGTTGGTGGAAATCTCTTTCAAGGAAGTATTCCTTCTTCTTTAGCCTCGTTAAGAGGCATCCAGAAGCTCGATTTTTCAAAAAATAACTTGTCGGGAAAAATACCTGACTTCTTACAAGATTTTCATGGCCTAAACTATTTGAATCTGTCCTTCAATAACTTTGAAGGTGAAGTGCCACTACTTGGTGTGTTTGCAAATGCAAGTGCAGTTTCAGTTATTGGAAATAGTAAGCTTTGTGGTGGGAACCCAGAAATGCATCTGCCAGCTTGCCCTTCTGAACCCTTTAACAAGAAACATGGATCACGCACAGTAATAGTGATCTGCGGGAGTACTATTTTATTTATATTAGTGATTCTTCTTTTCTGTTTCCTCGTAGTCCGACGCTGTCGAAAAGGTTCAAGAAGAAAATCTCTCGACTCATCACCCACAATCGAGCAAAATGTGAAGGTCACTTATGGTGATCTTGTGAGAGCCACAGATGGATTTTCTGAGGACAATATAATTGGGACTGGTAGTTTTGGTAGAGTATATAAAGGACTACTCGATGTTGAAAGTACGAAAGTTGTTGCTGTAAAGGTATTGAATCTTCAAATACCAGGAGCATCGAGGACATTTATAGCAGAATGTAATGCTGTGAAAAACATCCGGCATCGGAATCTTCTCAAGATCCTTACAGTATGTTCAAGTGTAGATTTCAAAGGTAATGACTTCAAAGCTGTAGTTTTTGAGTTCATGGAAAATGGAAGTTTAGATGATTGGTTGCATCCCAAAGCAAATGAGCAGTCCAAACCAAAGAAATTGGACCTTACGGCAAGGTTAGATATAGCTATTGATGTAGCTTATGCTTTGGATTATCTCCACCATCAATGTGGCAAACCAATTGTTCACTGTGATCTAAAGCCAAGCAACATTCTTCTGGATGATAATATTACTGCTCACGTCGGTGACTTTGGGTTTGCCAAGTTTCTCAAAAAGGTTACCTCTCAGTACTCAACAAGTTCAGCCGGTCTCAGAGGAACTATCGGGTATATTGCTCCAGGTAAAACTTATATTTTCTTGATTTCGTTACTTTTATATATGTTGTATTATTTTGTTAGGCTAAAATTTTAAAAGAGAAAACAAGATTACCATCTGAACCTTAAACATCATGGTATATTTTCCTTTTATAGTTGAACACAATGCATTGTTTGTTTTTCTTCACACGTGCAAGCTTCAAATGCATACATGCATGTTTTACTATCACATTTCTGTTAGAATATGTTCTGAATTTAAAGATGTAATTTTATTATCATAATTAAACTATGACATCTAATATGTTCTGAATTTAAAGATGTAATTTTATTATCATAATTAAACTATGACATCTATGTGTTCATCTTATGTACTTCACTGAAAATATTCTCTTATTTTATTATCATAATTAAACTATGACATCTATGTGTTCATCTTATGTACTTCACTGAAAATATTCTCTTAACATTCCATATATTGCCAAATTAATTTGATAAGGAAAATGTAATACTCAGTCTTACTTTATTCTTTCTCTTGTATTTATCTCAGTATAATCCATTCTAATTGCTTCTATGTATTTCACCTATAACAGAGTACGGAATGGGGAATGAAGTTTCAACTTGTGGAGATGTGTATAGCTATGGGATCCTTTTATTGGAAATGTTTACAGGAAAGAGACCCACTGATGATATGTTTGTAGGAGGTCTTACTCTTCCTATGTTTGTGAAGATGGCATTTCCTGAACAAATCACAAATGTCATTGACGCTCATTTGCTCACACCAAGTGATGATGCTGAAAGCATGAATTATGCAAGAGCAACCAACTGCATGGCTTCAATTCTTAGAATTGGTATCTCTTGCTCAAATGAATTACCAGCAGAGAGAATGGAGACGGACAAAATCATCAAGGAACTGCATATTGTTAGAGATATGTTCATGAGGAATGGAAATTATGGGGAGAGACAGAGAGTACTGCAGAGTGGTGAAGGTCCATCTACAAATATTCACAGACAGACATTGGTATGGGAATGTGCTATGCATGTGACACACACACTAATAAAATTCACAAACAAAATTCCTACTGAAATTAATTCAATCTATCATGATGGTTGATTTAAGTGAGGATAACCAATTTATTATAGATAGTTTCTATAGAAATATATTGCTTAGTCATTATGGTAATTTTAATTGCAAATATTTAATCGTGGAATGATCCTCTAATGTAAGCTACATAAAAGGAAAAAATTGCACTAGTATACTGTAGAGTAATCCTATTGAATTCCATACATTCAACATCATTTTTTCGGTCGATGAAAAATATAATTCCATTAACCAAATGAGCATTTACGTACAACATCAAGGTACATGCATACCTGAGCAATACAATTTACTTCAGACACATGAAACCCTCAAGCAACAGAAAGATAATGAAACAAAAGCTAACAGCCTATGCATTGTAAATAGTTACCAACATCACAATTTTCTGGAGGGATGGGATGGTGAAAGATAGCAGGTTGATAGTGCTTTAATTATTGTATTAAACCACTAGCATTGTTGCGTGCTATAGATAAATTATTGTTGAAATTCCCTGTGCTTATATATTAGTAACCAAAGTGAAAGTGGTTTTTATTACTAAGTGGAAGAAAATGGTTCCCACCAACACCCATGTGTGTGTATTTGTTGGGTGTTAAAGAGAATTCCTGTTGAAATTCCCTCTGCTCACACACCAACACCCATGTGTGTGTATTTGTTGGGTGTTAAAGAGAATTCCTGTTGAAATTCCCTCTGCTCACACATTAGTAATTTAATTAAGTTGCCCCCCCTCTGCTCACACATTAGTAATTTAATTAAGTTGCCCCTTAAATAAATGTTGACGGAAGAAAGAATTCATGCAGTCAACCATCGTTGTTGTTGTTATTTTTCTGTCTGTAGAATTTCTCAGTTTATCTTTATGCTATGCTACCTTAGTTGCATATGTACATGTCATCAGAAATAGAGTATGGGATGGACATAGAGTTTTTATTCCTAGAGATTGTTGCAGCCATAAAGTACTAATGTTTTTGCATAGAGATGCTGGTGATATCTTCCAAGTTTTAAGCCTTAAGATTTTTTTTTAATATCATTGATTTCCTTGCAATGTCATTGATTTACACTTGTTTATAATCTCCATACTCAGGACCGACATTGTCTGCTCGAGCAAACTACTGTAGAGGAATGGAGATAGAGAATGTATTGAAGCAAGCAAATGGTATCAGGAACATAGAGATTTATAGAGACAATAAGAGAGATTAACTTGTTTTTATATATGTTCTCACAGTGGTTTCTTCGTAATCAGTAGATTTGGATTGTTTGGAAGTATACCTTTATCTATTATTCTAAATCTTTTTTTGGTTGTTTCTCCTGTAACCCTTTTTGTTCTATGAATGGCCTTTTATACAAGCGATCTTGTTTTGGCATTTCTGGGCTTTCTTTTACTTCATTAGATAGATTGAGTTCTTTCTTTCGAGCATTGAGGTTGAAGCATCTGTATTTATGCTTTTCATAGTTACTTTGGTGATTCCTGTAATTAATTTATTGGAGCTGATTACTACAAAGAGATTTTACCTACTGTAATTATTCTTGTAGAAGGCCGTAGTTTTCACAAGTTTTTGCTATAAAGCTATTAAAGTTTCTAATACTGGGAGCTTCAAGGAGATTTATGGCAGAATGAGAAGCAACGAAAAACATTCTGCATCAGAATCTTTTCAAGATCCTTACAATATGTTCAGCTGTATATCTCAAAGGTAATGACTTCAAAGCTGTGGTCTTTGAGTTTATGGAGAGTGGCAATTTAGATGATTGGTTGCGTCCCAAAGCAAATGAGCAATTCAAAGCAAGAAAACTGAACCTTATGGGAAGATTAAATACAACTATTGATGTAGCTGATGCTTTGGATTACCTCCACCATTGTGGAAAACCAATTGTTCATCGTGATCTGAAGCAAAGCAACATTCTTCTCGATGATAATATGATTGCTTATGTTGGTGACTTCGGGGCCGCCAAGTTTCTCAAGAAGGTTACTTCTCACTACTCAACAAGTTCAGTTGGTCTCTAAGGAACTTTTGGATATATTGCTTCCGGTGAAAACTTCTATTTATTATGGTACATACTATTTCAGCTAGAACGTTTTACTTTACAGTTATATAAGTATATCATCATAATCAACCTATCTCATATAATTTCATCTCATGTACTCCACGGAACCTATCAACATTCCATATGTTATTTTCCTCAAAAAAAAAAAAAAAAATTCCATATGTTTCCAAATTAATTTGATAAGAAAATATAAGTATTCGGTTTCATATTACACCGCCTCTTATAATCACCTCGGACTAACTATCCTAACATCTGTGTTCCATCTATAACAGTGTACAGAATGGGAATTGAAGTTTCAACTTGTGGGGATGTGCATAGCTATTGGATACTTTTACTGGAAATGTTTACTGGAAAGAGACCAACTGATGATATGTTTATAGGAGGTCTTACTCTTCCTAGGTTTGTGGAGATGACATTTCCTGAACGAATCACAGACGTCAATATTGATGCTCATTTGCTTGCACCATGCGATGATGCTGAAAGTATGAACTATGCAAGAGCAATCGAGTGCGTAGCTTCAATGCTTAGAATTGGTATCTCATGCTCCTATGAATTACCAGCAGAGAGAATCGAGATGGGCAACATCATGAGGGAACTTTGTACTGTCAGAGATATGTTCATGGAGAATGGAAATCAGGGGAAGACATACAGAACCCTGCAGAGTGGTGAAGGCCCATCTGCAAAGATTTAGTAACGAAGCACTGGTATGGGCTATGCATGTGACATATACATATATTAAACACATACATGTGTATATACACACACATAACATAAATAAATATATAATCCCTATTGAAATCGATTGTTAAATATCCTGGTTTGATTTAAGTAGGATAATCCCTTTATTTACACAGTTTATGGTGAAATCTATCTGCTAAATCGTAATAGTTAGTTTAATTGCAAATATTGAATCATAATGGTTAGTTTAAGTGAAGAATAGGTCTTGTGAATTGTCTATGCTCAGAACAGAGGTGACAGCGGTTTATATTGCTAAGTGGAATAAAAAGGTTCCTATCTCTGTCTGTTTGCATATTTTATTATGCATTATCGAAAGTTGTTATTCCCTCAGCACACATATTAGTAAGTTAACCAAGTTGCCTTACATGAAGGTGTATTTGTTGTTGACTATCTTTGTGCTATACTTCCATATGTATGCACATGTCAAAAGAAAAAGAGTATTCGAATAGAAAATAGACTTCTTATTCTTGGAGATGTCTTCATGGAATACTAATGTTTATTGCAAAGGGACACTGTTGAAAGATTAGGGTTTGTAAGATCTAATATTCTCATTATCGGCTTGGCTTATATAGTCTTACACCCATATTTACACAAAACCCCTCTAATATTCCTTAATTACACTTATCTTTTCAACACTCCTTCTCAAGATGAGCGAAAGATATCTATTAAGCCCATCTTGTCACACCCTCTAGCTAGATCTACTGAGCTAAGCCCTTTAGTCAAACAGTCTGCAGCCTACTCCTTAGTTGGAACATGGTCTAACTCCAATAACCCACTGTTCAGCTTCTCCTTGATGAATAATCTATCAATCTCGATGTGCTTAGTTCTGTCATGCTGAACTGGGTTGTTGACGATACTGATAGCTGACTTGTTGTCGCACCACAAACTCATCTTGGCCCCTTGATCAAGGTTCAGCTCCACCAGCATGTTCTTCAGCCACATCAACTCCGCAACCCCCAAGGCCATGGCTCTGTACTCTTCTTCAGCTGTTGATCTCGCCACCACAAATTACTTCTTGCTTTTTCAGGAGACTAAATTGCCTCCTACAAATATGCAATACCCTGAGGTAGACCTCCGATCATCTCCGCAGCTAGCCCAATCTGAGTCACAGTAGCCCTTAATGTTCACATGGTCACTCCTCCTGAATCTTAGTCCCTTGCCAGGGGTCCCTTCAGATACCTCAGTATCTGATATACTGCATCCATATGACCCTTTCTCGGGTCATGCATGTAGCGGCTCACCACGCTTACCGCAAATGAGATGTCTGGACGTGTGTGACTCAGGTAGATCAGCCTGCCCACCAATCTCTGATATCTCTCACGATCAACAGGTTCTTCTGCCTCAGCACTCAGCCTGAAACTCTGATCAATCGGTGTAGCAGCCGGCTTGCACCCCAACATCCCCGTCTCTGCAAGAAGATCCAGTGCATACTTCCTCTGGGAGAGAACAACCCCCTTAGGTCCATGAGCTATCTCTATCCCAAGAAAGTATCGAAGTTGACCCAGATCCTTCACTTCGAATTCTTTGCTCAATCTTACCTTGAGTTGAGCAATCTCCTTCTCATCATCCCCTGTGATGATCATGTCATCCACATACACTGCCAGCATAGTGATGTGACCCTCACTTCTTCTGAAGAATACAGTATGGTCGGCATTGATCTGTCTGTATCCCATACTAACCATGGCTCTCTTGAACCTATCAAACCATGCTCGAGGGGACTGTTTCAGTCCATACAAAGGCTTCTTCAGCTTGCAAACCTTACCCACTGTCTGTCTTGTGCCACATCCAGGTGGTATCTCCATATACACCTCTTCCACTAGATCTCCATGAAGAAACGCATTCTTCACATCCAGTTGGTGTAGTTCCCATCCACCATTTGTTGCCAGAGAAATCAGCGTTTGAACAGTACTCATCTTTGCCACTGGTGCAAAAGTCTCATCGTAGTTAATGCTGTATGTCTGGCTGTACCCTTTTGCCACCAGTCGTGCCTTGTATCGTTCAACCTTCCCTTCTGGGTTCTGCTTCACGGTAAACTCCCACTTGCATCCAATTTCTCTTTTCCCTGCTGGCAGTATTGCTAACTCCCACGTGTGGTTCTTCTCAAGAGCCCCCAGCTCCTCATGCATAGCAGTCTTCCACTTTAAGTCATTCTTAGCATCCTGCCAGCTGTTAGGTATAATAACAGAATCTAATGATGCAATGAATGCTCTATGTGACGGGGATATGTGAGAATAGGAAACAGAATGATCTAGATCCCAACCATATCTCTTAGGAGGATTTCCCGCATTACTGCGAGTAGTCCTCCTTTCTGACATTGGAGTGGGGAGAGGGGTAGGAGTAGGAATGGTATTACCTAGAGTGGAGGGTGATGTAGGTATCTCAGGAGTTGGATCAGAGCTGGACGAGGGACTAGGCACTGGCACTGTTACTATAGGCATCTCTGGTTCCTTCCCCCTCCTACTGTATGTAAGCAACTCCCCCTGAGATGTAGGCCTAACACCCCTTTTCTTCTCTTCCTCCCCTTCGTCTTCATCCTCCTTCTCTCCTGAGTACGAAATCGAAATTGGTATTGACCCCCTTGAGCTCTCATCATTCTCCCCCTCTCGCCTCATACCTCCAGTATCAGGCAAGTCGCCAAAAGGTGAAGTAACCCCCATTGTGTAGTACAGCTCGAGCTCCCGAAACCCCACATCCATGCTGACAAACAGCCTTTTCTCCACCGGGCTCCAGCAGACATATCCTTTCTGGGTGCCATTGTATCCCACGAATATACACTTCATAGCCCTAGGGTCTAGCTTTCCAACCGATGGTCTGTTGTCCTTCACAAAACACACACAACCAAATACCTTCAATAGTAGGACCCCCTGGTTATCTCCCTTCAGTGTCTCACGAGTAGACTTCCACTCCAACACACTCGAAGGCATCCGGTTGATTAAGTGAATAGCAGTCAAGACTACTTGTCCCCACAAAACCTTTGGGATATTCATTGCCATCATCATACTCCTAGCAACTTCTAGGAGATGTATGTTCTTCCTCTCTGCTACTCCATTCTGCGCTGGGGTATATGGGCATGTAGTCTGGTGTAGAATCCCCTGAGCTGACAGATATTCCCCAAGTGTTCTGTTGGTGTACTCTGTCTCATTATCCGACCTCAACACCTTTACTACTGCACAATACTGAGTCTGGATGTGCTTATGAAAATCTTTGAAACAGCCAACTACATCACTTTTGTTTTTCATAAGATACACCCAAGTGACCCTAGAGAAGCAATCAATAAATATAACAAAAAACTTGCATCCATTTATAGAATTTACTGGGCAGGGTCCCCATACATCAGAGTGTATTACTTCAAACTTGTAAGAACTCCTATTACCCGAACTAACATAAGAGCTTCTAGTCAGCTTCCCAAACTCACAAGCATCACACTGCAGCTTCTGTTTATTTACCTTTCCAAACAGGGTTGGATACATTTTACCCAAAATGCCAAATGACGGATGTCCCATCCGTTGATGATAAAGCATCAACTCATCTTCTGTACACACTTTAGCTCCTCCTGTTCCCGTCCTCTCTACCACAGATGTCAGCGCTGAGTCCATCCCTTCGCGGTCCAAGTACCACAGCCTGCTACGCCATGTCCCAGTCCCAAGTCTTCATCCTGTCCCTTTCTCCTGAAAGATCACCTTGGGAATGTTAAAAGAAACAATACAATTTAGTTGGAGGATAATGGCACTAATGGATAACAGGCTAACCGGAAATGAAGGAGCATGTAGAACATTAGATAAAGTTATAGAACCTGTACAACTAACAGTGCCCTTACCAACCACATCCTGTGTTGTACCATCAGCGATCTAAATACTCTCTGCTTCTGCTAAGTGAGTGTAAGATAAGAACTCACTGACATTGCCTGTCACATGTCTGGATGCTCCAGAATCCATTATCCAGGCGGTGGATCTTCTCTCGTTTGGGTGTGCGCGAAGGGCGTAATTGGCATAATCTCCTCCAGAGAGAGTAGTGGATGACCCCTCAGACACATCACCTACTGCTCTCTGCTTCCTCCTCAGTGCTGCCAAGAGAGCCTGATCCTCATCAGTGAAGATCATCTCAGCTTCTTCTTCCCTTTCTGTCACTGTCAAGTTTGCCCGTGGTCTCCTCTTCCACCTCGCCCTCGACCTGCACGGCCACCAGTCTGACCACGTTCACCCCAGTTCCTTTCCCTGGGTGGCTTAGGGCATATCTGTCTCAGATGCCCTACCTCTCCACAGTTGAAGCACTGTCTAGTCTCCCTTCTGAATCCAGTATTATTCGGGTTGGATACCACCAGTGCAGACTTCTCCCATGTAAGTCCACCTATTCCAACCTGTAGTCTGATACGGCTTTCCTCCTGTATCATGACCGAGACTGCTTCCTCCAGTGGTGGGATCTTCGTCTGAGTTAGTAGCAACGCCGTCCTCTGCTCATACGCTGGAGCCAAGCCTCGGAGAAACAACATGGTCCTCTTCTGCAAAGAGGCCTCGCGCTCCTTGCACTCCGGGTCCTTGCAGCTCGCTAGGGGCGAGAAGTGATCGTGATCGAGCCACAAGCGCTCCAGCTCTGTGGCGTACTCCTGTATAGTCCTCTCTCCCTGGACTGTAGCGTTGATCTCCTTCTCGATCTGGTATACCCTCAGGTTATTCCCCACCCCATCGTAGGTCCTCCTCAGCTTCTCCCAGACATCCTGCACCCTCCCAAGGCCATCCACTATGGTAGCAATTGGCTGGACTACAGAATTCAGAAGCCAGATGTACACCAACATATGAGTGGACTTCCACTCATCTCTACTTGCGGAGCCCTCAGCCGGCTCAGTCTTCTCCCCTGTCAGATATCCCTCCATGCTCCTCCTAGCAAGGGTATATTTCACCCGATGCGACCAACTCAGATATGTCGCGGGTCCATCAAGCTTTACAATTTGCTCAA